ACCAGGAGGCAGGGGGCAGGGCTTGGGCTAAGCTGGGGGTTTATGCAGTGGCATCCCGCTTGGTGGGGTCACACCACTATCGTGGGTTGCAGGGGAGTCACGCAGTGGCAGGCTGTCTCTCCTCTGGGGTCACACAGTGGTCCTTCCTCCGTGGTTAAGTGGTGGCCGGCAGGTGGTTGCTCCTCCCGGGTCTCATAGAAGCTGGGGGTGGGTAGTTGCTCCTCTGTAGTCCATGGTGGCAAGCAATTACTCCCTGCTTGCTCCTGGTCACTAAGGGTTTGTTTGCTCCAGCAGATACGGCTCAATAAAGCATGCCTTCTCTTGCATTAGCAAACTGGTGATGCTCAATGTTGTTGGGTAGTTGCAATGTATGTAATCTGGTGGCTGACAGCAGAAAGATGCGGTGGTTGATGAATGGCACCTTCTAAAGATTAAATCCTTGTGTGTATTAAAAACAGTTTCCAAGAGACTAAAAAGAAAACTTACTGACTAGGAAAGAGCATTTGGTAATACCATTTCAGGCAAGGGTCTAATATAAAAAGTTTACAGAATCTTACAGGGTCTCCACAAGAAAAATCTGATAACCCAATTACAACATGGGCAAAAGACATGAAAAGAATTGTCACAGAATAAGCTATTCAGATGGTGAACAGACATATGAAGAAATGGTTCAGATCACTGGAAATAAGAGATATGCAAATCAAAACCACAATGAGATATTACTCTAGTATCAATGGCAAAGTTTAACAGGACAGTAAGTTATAAATGTTGGAGAGGTGAGATAGGAACTCTTACACTGTTCCCATTTCCCACACTGCTTTGCCCATAGTACCTTATGTCTTCTTGATGTGACATCTGATGATGATGCTTACAATGATGAACTTGACTGTGATAACCAGAAGGACTAGGAAGACTTTGAGAATGAACTGTAGAGAGGTGGTTGGGACTTCAAGTAGTGATGCTGAAATAGAATGAAAGAGTGCAAGTTTTGTGCAGACTCTGAAAGTAAGTGCTTCTTCAACTGTTGCTACCTAAGATGCATTAAACTCAAATCTCAAACATATTGCTGTTGAGTTGATTCTAACTAATTTTGCACCCCAAGGCTATAAATCCTTATGGGAGGAATGGTACCTCATAGGAGCCATCTTTCCCAAACTGGGTCCTGTCTCTGCCTAGCAGTGTTCCATTTTTTATTCCCATTTTGGAAAGTTCTGCAGATTAACAGGGGTCCAAGCACAGGAAAACTTCTATAGTTCAATGGTGTGTCTCTTTAACTGTTAAAAACCTCAACAAGGTCTTAATAAAGTGTTTTGGGGTATAGATTGGTTCCTACAATGAAAAAAGAATTACAGCATTGGAAATCCTAAGGGTGGTTTGACTTTGTCTTATAAAGTTACTATGAGTCAGAATTGCCTCAATGGCAGTAGGAATGCGTTTAGGTATAGGTTCTGAGTTAACAGCCCCAAACGAGCTCATGAATATACTAATGTTATTTTGTTGACAGGTGCCATTATATAAATTCTGACCCTTGATGATTGCATGTGTTCTAACTAGAACTGCCCCATAGCATTTTCTTGGCTATAATCTTAATTAATGGAAGCAGATAATCAGGCCCTGTCTTTCTTCTGGATTCACTCTACCACCTTCAGTTTAGCAGTTCAGTACAAACGATTTGGGCAAACTCAAACTAAGCCAACTGCTGTTGAGTCTGTTGAGTCTCTTCTGCCTCATGGAGGCCCAACAGGACAGGGTAGAACTATTTTACTGGGTTTTCCTAGGCTGTAATCTTTATAAGGGGCTCGAATGGTGAAGTCCATAAAGGGTTGTTTCGCTAACCCAAAGGTTACACTTATTTGGCACTTCACATCCAACAGCAGCTTCATGAGGAAAAGGTGGGTGATCTATTCCAGTGCAAATTACAGCCATGGAAGTCCAAAGGAGGCTCAGCTACAAATCAGCTCTGACTCAAGAGCAATGAGAAGGAAGGGAAATAATCTTTATGGACGCTGGTTATCACATCTTTCTCCCACAGAGCAGCTTGCCAGTTTGAACCACCACCCTTTCAGTTAGAAGCTAGGCATTTTCATAGCTATGCTATCAGGGCCCTTTTGTGTCAGCCACCTAAGAATCTTTAAATAATCTGATCTAAACTAAAACCTACTGCTGTTGAGTTGGCTTTGACTCAGAGTGACCCTATGGGGCTGAGCAGAACTACCCACAGGGCTTCTAAGACTGAGTCTTTACAAGAGCAGAATGCCTCATTTTTACTTCCACAGAGCAGCTGTTGAGTTTGAACCACCAAACTTTTGGTTAGCATCCCAATGTTTAACCCACTATGCGACGAAAATTTAAAAAACCCAAACAAACCCTTAAGGTCAATGACATCTAGGTTCCAACTCATAGTAATCCTCCGGGATTTCAAAGAAGTGAAAAAATCTTTACTAGAGGTGATTAGTCATATTTCTTCCACAGAACAGCTGGAGGATTCAAACTGATGACTTTCTGGTTAGCAGCCCAATATGTTATGAACTACTTCACTATAGCGCCTAAGTATACCGATCAAACAAACAAGTATACTGATAGAGGTGGGAAAAGATATAACCAATCATAAAACAACATGGACATGATAATTTTCTGCAGTTGCATTTCTAGAGGTCACTCCTGTGGTTTGGTCATTGCAATCACTTGTTATGCATCAGAGAGTTGGACAATGACTAGGGAGGATAGAAGGAGAATTGCCGCCTTTGAGCTGTGGTGCTGGAGAAGAGTATTGAATGTTCCATGAACTGCCAAGAAAACAAACAGATCCATCCTAGAGAGGGCTAAACCAGGCTACTCCTTGGAGGCAAGGATTCTGGGGCTTCGTCTGACATACTTTGGACATGTTGTAAGGAGAGACAGGTCCTTGGAGAGGGACATCATGCTTGGTAGGGTAGAGGGACAGTGCAGGAGGGGAAGACCCTCTATGAGGTGGATTGATTCAGTGACTGGGGTAATCGGGATTGGTGTGTCAGAGGCAATGCGATTGGCACAGGATAGAGCAGGGTTTAGGGCTGTTGTACATAGGGTCGCTATGAGTCGCAAGCGATTTGACGGCACATAACAACAACAACTCCTGTGATTGATTTGATTCTGGGAGAGTGGAGGATTATGAGGAGGTAGTGGTGAACTGGATTTGTATTCCCATCTGGAGTTTGGCTAAGTAGGAAAAGAAAGCTCTAGGCAAATGGAATGAGCATGAAGAAAAGATCTGTCAACAATAAGACAATGATGTACAGTGATTTAAAGGCTAGAAGTTACTCCACATGGGTAGACCATTTGTTACTGGAGGAGAGAGCTGTGTAGTGAGGAAGAGATATTAGAAAGAGGTAGCAAAAGGAGAACAAGTGAAAAAAAATTTCCATGATAGACACTAACTGCTGAGAAGATTCTCAAAGAAATCATCTATCACTCTTTTGCATACATGCACATATACTTCAATTCAGTTGGTATATCTTTTTTACCCTCCTCAATTACCTGTTGACTCCAGCATATTCTCCCTGCACACCAAGAATTCACGAAGCCAGTAATTGCAATCTCCCAGTGAGATCTTCCAGAAATGGTCTACAAATTCTCTGTCCTTCTGCCATTTTTCCTTGATGTGTGTGGCTCCAGGATGTGAAATGATCCATTTATTGTTCGCTGTGTCAATTAGGAGGAATGGCTGCCCATTGATGCTGAACTGCCAGGATGCACTGGTGCACTGTTTTGCTTCTTGTTGGCAAAATAATTTGACCTGCAAAGTGGGAGGATCTGCTCCCAATCCATAAAGAAGTTATTTATTATCTGCTCTTGCAGACCTCTTATCCCCTATCTGTCCTGTTTTCCTCTATGCGTTTTGAGACTCAAACTCTGACTTTTAGATCTTGTTCTTTTTGGATCATCTAAGTTTCATTGTCTTCTGGGTCTGTACCTACGTTCAGTTCCTTGACCCAAATGCATCCAAAGGCTTTCCCCACCCATACCTTCCTCTCACTCTCCCCTTTCTTGATAACTGTCTCAGACATGGGCTCTTTCAAAGTTACCTGTGATTATGAAGTCCTCCAATTTAACATCAAGCAGGAGAATTCGGAATTCTGGCTCCAAGTCCTTCAGTGTTTCGGTCTGCTCTGCCCATGCTTTTGTGGTGTTTGCCTTCTCACCCAAAGAACCTAAGGGTTTAGCCTTTTTGCTGTCACTGTCATAGTGGAGGAAAGAAATTCCATCTAATGAACCCTGGACTACACACCAGGGCTGTGCAGGTATGCTCCAAGTCTTCACTGTGAAGTTATAACAAAGAGAGTGATAATCTGTGAACAAAAATTTCAGGCAAAAGTTAAAGTAAGATGTCCTTTTACAATAACCAGACGCCCGACCACGTGCCTGTGTGGGAAACTCTGGGCATGACCAGGCCATGTAGGCCAGGATGTCCAGGGTTGTGGTAACTCTGTGTCATCCCACATGGGCCAATTCCTGCATGGGTGCCATGTTGTAGAAGGGCCCCTCCCATCCAGGGCATATGGCCATCTGTCCTTGTCCCCTACTTGTCTCTCCTTGCCTTTTATGCCACCACATGCTGTCTGTAGTGTGTGTAGGGCTCAGCAAAGACCTCAGGTTCTGTCAAATTGAGTACAACTCCTAGTGACCCCATGAATGGACAAGCTGAAACCTGTCCATCCTCATAATTTCTGACACACTTGAGTCCCTTTTGCTGAAGTCACCTTGTCAATCCATCTCAATGGCTTTCATCCAAACTTGTTGGAAAAATTGCTGGGAAGATACCTTAGCTGGCAACACTAATAGAGCTTTGTAACATTAGCCTAAAGCTGAGAGGCTAAAGCTGATGGGCCTGTGAACACACTTCAGAAGCTGTCCTGACTGAGAAGTTGTGTCTTGTTGCCAACCCAACCTGTAACCTGTTAATTTTCCTAATAAGCCTCTGGTTATTGTAAAACAACAAACCATCAGTCTGGTACTGTGAGATCTGTTTTGCTATTACAATGAATTTCTGACCCAGTAGGGCAAGAGTATTAGTATTAGAAATTTGTAGAAGTAGGTGTGGCAGACTGGGCAACATCTCTGACCTTGTGGACATGAGTTTTGTGTTGTGGATGTTATTGATGGGGGCAGTTGCTCCTTGTGGAGTTAGTAGAGGTCAGAAATGACCATCCTCATGCTGCCCTTGCTCTTTTTGCAGACTTCCTTCTGGTATTCTCTTCTATCAGTTGAAATCCATCTGGCATCAGCAATGATATCCCTGGTGCCACTGCCTCATCTAAATCCAGCCTGAGTTTCTGGCAGTCCTCTGTTGATATACTGTTCTAGCCATTTTAAAATAATTTCCAACAATATTTTGCTTGCATAAGATATTAATGATATTGTTCTGTAATCTTCACATTTCATTGGATCACCATTTTTGGGGAATGTGAATAAATATGGATCTATACCAGTCAATCGGTCAGGTAACTGTCCTCCAAATTTCTAGTATCAAAGGCATATATAAAATTTATGATGGGTGTGGCATGTTCGAGAAGGCTTCTTGGAATTTTAGGTGGGACTTGGTGGAGGGAGAGATGCCATGTATAACATTATACCTTGTATAAGAGCAATGGTGTCTCTCTGGAGACTAAGGTGCGCCTGATACAGGCCATGGTTTTTGCAATCACTTGTTATGCATCAGAGAGCTGGACAATGACTAGGGAGGATAGAAGGAGAATTGCCGCCTTTGAGCTGTGGTGCTGGAGAAGAGTATTGAATGTACCATGGACTGCCAAGAAAACAAACGGATTCATCCTAGAGAGGGTTAAACCAGGCTACTCCTTGGAGGCAAGGATTCTGGGGCTTCACTTGACATACTTTGGACATATTGTAAGGAGAGACAGGTCTTTAGAGAGGGACATCATGCTGGGTAGAGTAGAGGGACAGCGCAGGAGGGGAAGACCCTCTATGAGGTGGCTGACATACTTTGGACATATTGTAAGGAGAGACAGGTCTTTAGAGAGGGACATCATGCTGGGTAGAGTAGAGGGACAGCGCAGGAGGGGAAGACCCTCTATGAGGTGGATTGATTCAGTGACTGGGGTAATCGGGATGGGTGTGTCAGAGGCAATGAGATTGGCACGGGATAGAGCACGGTTTAGGGCTGTTGTACATAGGGTTGCTATGAATCGTAAACGACTTGACGGCACATAACAACAACAACAGCAACAACATGGGGATGCTTGTGACAAAGTGCTGTAACTGAATTAGTGTTAAAGAGTAAGAAAAGGCCCTTATAAGGTACACAGCTTGCCAGGTGGTGGTGGTGGTGATTCCCAAAACAAGGTTTATGAATTCTGAAGTATCTGGAGTACAGGGAGGAGAACAATCTGGAAGGAAGGATTCATCAAAGTGAGGGATGGAAAAGGAACCTCATGGAGCTAGGCTGGTGAAAGTAACAACTAGGAACAAGGACTGGCCATCCACCTCTGAAATAGCAGGCCTTTGAAAATCCTATGAAAAAAGGACATCATGCTTGGAACAGTAAAGGGTAAGTGCAGAAGTGGAAGATCCTGTATGAGATGGATTAACATAATGACTGTGACAATAGAGTCAGGTGTGTCGGAGAGGGTGAGATTGGCTCAGGATGAGGCAAGATTCAGAGCTATCGTTCATAGGGTTACTATGAGTTGTAGTCATAGTCATAGTTGTAGTAGCACATAACAACAACAGCAACAACAACAACAACAACAACAACAACAACAACAACAACAACAATGTGCTTGCTGGAAACACATACAATCTAATCTTCCCTTGCCTGGTTCCAGTCTTACATTTTCTCTTTCCTTATCGTTCTCATATTCCTATGTACTTTTGGTTCAGTTCTGAATGTCTACAGCTTTAATGGATAAATTAGAAAATGTGTTCATGAGGAGGATCAGACAAGGTGAAGTACTAAAAAAAGAGAGAGTGGTGATGAGACCTGTATGAAACCCTACCACAATCTCTTCCTTCTATTTCACCCAGGCCTCACTCCAAAACACTCACCACATGATACCTCCCAGGCTTCTTCTCTCAGCAGCAGCAGCAGCAGCAGTAAAAGGAAATGAGAATGGATTTGTGCCAATAACATTCTTGAGAAGGAGTGCAGAGGGGAAAGAAACTGTAGAGTAGAACTTGAATATTTCTGCAAGAAGAAATAGACAGTCTTGAACTTCTGCCCTGGCTGAGCAGTGATCCTAGAGTTTCCTAAAGTCTCCACCCTTGAACAGGAAGACCAGGTCCCTACTGTTTGTGGAACCGATCATCAACTACTCATGTACAAGTTCAAACTGAAGCTAAAGAATATGAAAACAAATCCCTCCACATAAAAATACTATCTTGAATCTCTCTAACCTGAATTTACAAACTATCTCAAGAACGGTTTGTGAGGGTTTTTTTTCCAAAGGAAAGAAACTTTATTAGTCTTGATGAATAATAACTATACAAACCACTATCTTATCAACCCTTAGATCAGAAAAAGGTATTTGACTGTGAATCATAAGAAATTATGGCTAATATTGAGAAGCATGGGGAACTTGATTGCATTTATGCAAACCTATGCCTAGATCAAGGAACTGTTGTCTTAACAGACCAATGGAACCCTGAATAGATTCTATTGAATTTGTGTGCAGAAAAAAAGTCATTTGAGAAGTGAAACTTCATGAAAAAGGGTGTGGCATCAATGTCAGATGACTCAACAACCAACTGCCTTATGCAGATGACATCACCTTGCTTGTGGAAATTGAGGAAGACTTGAGGGTCTTCCTACAGAAGATAAAGACCATAGCCTTCAATACAAATGTGCATCTCAACATCAAGGGGGGAAAATTACCCCTGGACTGATAGGCAACATCATGAACCTGTCCTGTGTCATCCTCACCATCCCTACACGCTTGAGCACAGTGCAGTAACTGTTGATTCATCTTGTTGATGAATCTCTTTCACTGGTGCTCTACCTTTCTAAACATGGCGTCCTTTTCTAAGCACAGGCCTCTCCAATTGTTAACTGGATGCAGAAAGAAAACAGAGACATGAGGAAATAAATTCTGAAAAAGAGGAATGCTAAGGCAGAGGTCTTCTCACAGCTTATCACTGTGAAAAGGCCTTTTTCTTTTCTTTTTCAAATTTTATTTTATTAATTTTAATGAA